AGTAGTGCAAGATCATGGCAGCAAGCATAGGCCAGATTCTTGCGGCAGTACAAAACTAGGAGATAATAGGAATTTTTTATACCAAGTAAGTCGAAAGTGGTAGGGTAATTCTTCCAGAACATGCAGGTGTGGAACTTGCAATTTTCGGAAACAACAGAAGTATATACGACACATCGTCCAGGAGTAGTTCTTCATTGAGGAGCCTGCCTGGCCGTAATATAGTAAAGCCCACTTATATGGCAACTTCACAGTATTTACCACCGAAATCGCCTCCGGGTATGTTGGATATTACAGAAGTAGATAATAAAAAAAGTAAGCAAATCCTCTATAGATTGCTTGGTTAGTGCTGTGTGTGCACACTCAACGTTTGTTTTAAGAAGGAAAATGGAGATAAATATTGCTCGTATCAAAACCATTACAAGACTCCTCGAAATATGTAGAGATACAAGAAAGATTTTAGAAACAACAACAATAAATGCAAACGCAAATATCAACGGAACTGTCCGAGTAGTAGATAAACAGTCACTAGACAAACCAGTAACTTCCGGACAAAAAAACTGCTATCTAAATGTTATGTTTGAAATCTTCTTGAACAAGTTTAATTTTCATCATTCTCCCCCCTAAAACTTGTTCCTCCTCGAACTTGCACACCAAGTTTCTTTCTCAATTGTTTAAAAACTTCAGCCTTCAGAGCTTTTGTGAATATATCTGCCACTTGATTATTTGTACTCACATGCTGCAATTCAACTTCCTTTGACTTTGCATGCTCTCTGATGAAACGGAAACAAGTATCAATGTGCTTTGAGCGTTCATGATGAATTGGATTCTTTGCAAGTGCAATAGCAGACTTGTTGTCAATGTAGATCTTGGTCGGATGCTTCTGCTCTAACTTCAATTCACCGAGCAATTTTCTCAGCCAAATAGCATGGCAAACACAAGATGCTGCAGCAATGTATTCTGCCTCACAAGTAGATAATGCAACGATGGACTGCTTCTTCGAAGACCAAGTAAATGCACAACCAGCAAAATAAAACACGAATCTTGTAGTACTCTTTCGATCATTACGATTTCCGGCCCAATCACTATCACTGAACCGAACAAGATCAGGATTTTCTATTGCTGAATATAACAATCCATAATCGATAGGACCTTTGATATATCTCAGGATTCTTTTTGTTGCCTTCAAATGAGATGCCTTTGGTGTCTCCATAAATCTGCTAACAAGCCCAACTCCATATAAAATATCAGGCCTGGTACATGTCAAGTACCTCAAACATCCCACAAGGCTCTTGAAATATGTTGGATTTGTTGGCTTGCCTTCTCCTTCTTTGGTCAGAGTAGTCCCACACTCAACTGGTTAGTCCACAGGCTCACAATCTGTCATGGCAAATTTCTGCAGAATTTCCTTAGCATAGTTTTCTTGTGACACCAATATGCTCGCTGCATCTTGATGCACTTCAATTCCAAGGAAATATCGCATCAAACCCAAGTCAGTCATCTCAAACTCCTTTTTCATCGATTGTTTGAACTCCTCAATCATAGAATCTTTTCTGCGTGTAAAGATCAGATCATCAACATGTAAACAGATCAATAACAAGACACCTGCAGAGTTCATCTTAGCATAAAGTGAGTGCTCGTATGGACATTTCTCAAAGCCATTTGCTAAGAAATACTAGTCAATTCTTGAGTTCCATGCCCTTAGTGCTTGCTTTAATCCATAAAGAGCCTTCTTCAATCTGTAAACTTTGTCTTCCTGACCTTCAATTTGAAATCCAAGGGGTTGCTCAATATATATCTTTCTTCAAGTTTTCCATTAAAAAATGCCGACTTGACATCCATCTGATAGATCTTCTGATTTCTCTGGGCAGCAATGGAAATCAGTAATCTCACAGTTTCAAGTCGTGCTATGGGGACAAAAACCTCTTCATAATCAATCCCGTATTTCTGCTTATACCCTTTCACCACCAATCTTGCTTTATGCCGCTCGACTTTTCCTTTAGCATTTCTCTTTGTTTTGTACACCCATTTGATTCCAATGGATTTGTGACCTTCTGGAAGTGAAGTAAGCTCCTAAGTTTTGTTTTTTTGAATTGCTTGAATTTCTTCCTCTATAGTTTTCTGCCACTAGGATCTTCCGCAGCATCCTGAAATGTTAGTGGGTCTATTCCAACAAATAAACAAAAATTGTTGTATTCATCATCAATATAATCTTCAACAACCTCTTTGTTGTCAATCAACTCCTGAATACTCCTCATTCTCCTTATTGATGGACTCTTGGAATCATCACTATCAGATTCGCTTCCTCCACGGTTAGGTGTTGTTGCCCGAACATTTTCTGTTTCTTCCTCACCAACTTCAATTACTGGATTTTGTTTGCTCTGCTATTTGCTGCTCTAGTCCCAACATTTTTCTTCATCAAATGTCACATCTCTGGACATAATAATCTTCTTGGTAATTGGGTTGTACAGCTTGTAACCTCTGCAATTTTCACCATAGCAAAGTAAAATACACTTCTAGCTTTTGTCTTCAAGCTTTGTTCTTTTCTCCTCCTGCACCTTAGCATATGCAATGCTTCAAAAGATTCTGAGATGATTGACATTCGGTTTCTGCTTGCTCTATACTTCTTATGGAATGATGTCACCAATTCTCTTTGTTGGAAACCTGTTCAATAAATAGACTTCACAGGCTACAACATCTCCCCAAAACTTTTTTGGCACCGTTCTTTATTTCAGCATGCAACGAACCATGTTTATGATGGTTCTGTTCTTCCTCTCCGAAACTCCATTCTGTTGGGGCGTCTGTTGCATAGTCAGCTGATGTTGTATGCCGTGTTCCTTGCAGAATCTATCAAACTCCCTTGAGGTGTATTCTCCTTCACGTTCTGTCCTTAAGCATTTTAGGTATTTTCCACTCTAATTCTCCACCAGATTCTTGAACTCCTTGAACTTGGTAAACACTTCACTCTTTTGTTTCATCATATACACCCATGTTTTGCCACTGTGATCATTTGTAAATGTCAAAAAGTACTTTTTTTCGCCAAATGAGGTTGGTGTAATTGGTCCACAAACATCGGAATGCACCAACTCGATCTGTGATTTGGCTCTTTTTGCTCCGTACTTGCTGAATTGCTGCATCTGCTGCTTTCCCGTGACACAAATTTCACATGGATTGCTTGCTGGTTCACTTTTTGGCAATCCGAGCACCATGTTTTTGCTACCGAGTGATTTCAGTCCTCCAAAATTAAGATGCCCATACTGCAGGTGCCACAAGTACTGCTGTCCAGAATTGCAACCTTATAACAGTATGAATCGCTCGCTGCCATTAGCTTCAGGGGAAACATTCGGTTCCTGGTCATTCTCACATTTGTAACAATCTGATTGCTTTTATCACATAAGCTCATCATCAGATTATTCATTCTGATATCCTACTCCTTCTCAAGCAACTGCCCAATACTGAGCAAATTGCTTTTAATTTTAGGCACATAATAAACATTTGAAACGAGTACCTGTCTTTCAGATTGCAATTCGAGGGCTACATCTCCTTTTCCTTCAATTGGGCATTTTGATAAATCTCCAAATGTGATGTTTCCCATTTGCCTTTCATCGAGTTTTATGAAAAACTCTTTTCTCCCACACATGTGATTCGATGCTCCAGTGTCAAGGAACCATGTACTTTCCTACACACTTTCCAGTTCTCGTTTTGCCACCATAAGTAGTGCTTGACCACCATTGGTTTCTTCTTGGTCAACCAGATTTGCTTCTTCTTTTACAGAATTAGTGTTCTGTCGACACTCTCTAGCATAATGACCAAAATTCTTGCAAGCATGACATTGAATTTCAGATTTGTCATACCTCCATCCAGAGTTTCTTCCACGGCCAAGTCCTTGCCATCTTCCTCGGCCTCGATTTTCTCCTTGAGCACAATTCTGGTCATTATGTCCAGTCTCCTGAGCTTGCCTATACGTAGCTCGTCCTCTTCTTCCTCTTCGTGGCTGAAGTCTTCCACGTTGTGTGCCTCATCTGGATGCATCAAATTTCTTGAATGTGAGACTCGTTTGGAGAGCTTGTTCCAAAGAACTATCACCTCATCTTCTCAAAACCATGTGCTCATAGGCTTGGAGCGAACCCAGCAACTCATCAACCGTCATCTCCTCTGCATTTTTGGACTCTTGAATGGCTACTGCTACGAAATCATACCTCGGATGTAGTGACCTCAATATTTTTTGATTAATTTTAGCATCTTCTAGTTTCGCTCTATTTCTTCGGATCTGATGCGCAATAGCTATAACACTAGAGAAGTCATTTGCAATACTTTATGTCTCACCATGATTCAATGCCTCAAACTAAACCGTCTAGGACTACAGTCGAATATTCTTCATTTTATCAATTCCTTTATGAGCTTTCTTTAATCTGTCCCATGCCTCATTCAATGTCTGGGCAGTGGATATCAACTTGAAATCTGCTTCATCAACACCTTGATAGATTGTGAACAAAATTTTCTTTTCCCTTTTCTTCAACTCCTTATGTACCTCTGCATTAACTTCTTCACCTTCTGCTTCTGCATACCCAGATTCAACCGGGTCCCATACATCAAGAGATCCTAATAATGCCTCCATTTGTATACTCCACATCCTATAATTATCTTTCGTCAACTTGGGCACCGGAAGGGAACTGCTGGACGCCATATCCGTCTTTGGGCTGCCTTTCGCCATTAGGCTTTGATACCACTTGTTGGATATTACAGGAGCAGATAATAAAGACAAGTTAGCAAATCCTCTATAGATTGCTTGGTTAGTGTTGTGTGTGCACACTCAACGTTTGTTTGAAGAAGGAAAATTGAGACAAATATTGCTTGTATCAAAATTACATAACTCGAAATATATAGAAATACAAAAACGATTCTAGAAACAACAACAATAAATGCAAACGCAAATATCAACGGAACTGTCCAAACAATAGATAAACAGTCCCTAGACAAACCAATAACTGCCAGACAAAGAACTGCTATCTAAATGTTATGTTTGAAATCTTCTTGAACAAGTTTTAATTTTCATGATATGCCTGCTGCAAAACCTAGGTCAGGCCCTTCGGGTTATTTAAAGCTGCTGAAGCGCCCGTCAGACCATGCGGTAACTGCTGTCAAGAAACAGCTGGGAAGCCTCTATACGGAGGATGGTCCACCACTCGGTGTCGATTTTGACAGTCTTCCTCCCTCAAATCAAAACAGGTTCAAGTGGATGGTAAGTTCATCGAATTAGTATGTTTAGTCATCTTCCATGTTAATTTTTTCGCATATTTTATTTGTCTTTGAATCTGTGATGGTGATCTTAAGGTATTAAGGGAAGCGATCCTTTATTTATTGACATATCTCAAGTTTTGCACAACTGTTGAATGGTTCCTTTCAATGTCACTATTTCTATATCTGAAAGCTCCAGCCTCATTTACTTTTTTTTTTGTAACCTCTAATTTTCATTAACCAGAAAACTACGGTACGAGATAAGGCATTTCACCAGCTACAGGTGGTATTTTGAATCTCCACCAACACCTCAAGTTTGGACAGGCAAATGAATTTAGGAATGATTTCCTTTTTCATTTCTATTCATTTACTTATTTGGAATTTTTTGTAAAACTATATATCATGAAATATTATGGCACACTTTAGTGCAGTAATATAATTAACCTCGATGAAATTTGTCTGAAAGAACCGTTGACGTGTTTAACTATCTAAATATGATAAATTCTCTGATGATTATTTAGATGCTCTAGACATTGCCCTTTAGTGCAATAAGCTTTTATGGATTCTATCAATTGTTGCGACTTCTTTATTTTCCGTTGTCCGACAGTCTACTTAGTTAATTTTTGTTCATATTTTGTTCCGCATGAGAGTCAGATTATGCGTCATATGAGTAACTACGTTTATTTTGATCTCAATATTTCAGGGATTCGAGATTGGCTCCAGCGCATCATCATCACTCAGATTGAAAAGGGATAGAGCAAGTTTTAAGGTCCCTCAAGGATCTGATGGGCTGGACAACGTTGGGCACCAAAAATGCAAGCAGAGCTCTTCCCCTGGTTACTATTCTGATGGATCACTTGAAATGTCTACTAAAGGTGTCACTGGAAGCGACAGTAGATATGATTTTGCAATGAGGTACAGTCATGGGGTTGAAGAGACAAAAGTAGGTTCTGTTATCGGTGGCAAATTAAAAGGGGTGCAAGAATCTGGATTCAATAAGCACGGTGAAGCAAGCCAAAATAAATTTCCGGGAGAATATATTGAACATCTTTCAACCACCAATTGCACAAATGAATGTGACAATATCTGGACTCTCGCACTTCCATGCAGAGGGAGTGCAAAGGTCTGCAAGCAAACTTACATTCCCAGCGTTGTAATTGTACATTCGAGACTTCTGTGGTAACTCCACTTTCTTCAATAAATGTAGGATGCAAGGATAGGCAGAACCGGTGGCAGCAAGGTCGAGATTCCCAAGAAGAACAATATCACTGTACACTCTAGGAATTTACACGAATCCATGATACTATTATTTTCATTTGATACTTATCTTTAACAAATTTCTTATCCACAGGCTTCAAAAAGGCCTATGGAAGGACTTCCTCCGCAGCAGGAACCATCAACAAAGAAACATTTGTGGCGCCTGCATGCAATGGAACCGACCCAGCCATAAGGTTCGACTGCACGCGCACTGGATTCAAACTAGATTACTGATCTCAAATCTTGAAAAAGCTTTTGCATTTTCATTGCCCTGATTCGGGCTATGCTTTTTTCTGTAGGTCTGGTGGTGAGACCAGGATCGGAGGTGGTGTTAGTGATGAAAAGGAGGCGAAAAGTGGAGCAGAGAAAAGTTCTTGTGTGGAGTAAACAACTCCAAAGATTGGCCTTAGCAGCACAGATCTCCTCCCTAAGGTGAGGTTTTGAACAGAGTTTAGTGTTTTTGTTTTTTCACTATTGAGGTAGAATGATTTATGTGTATATATGACTGTGAGAAATTGTGGTCGTGCGGCGGCAGCGGCTGTGGTGGTGGGGTGGGATACACTCACCAGACACCCTGTTGTATAGTTTTGTTGTTATGATATTATTATGTACATTTTCTTGCCTCAATGAACATTATTTCACTTTTTCTACTCGGGCTGTGTTTGATTTGTATTTAATTTGTGTTTAACTAGTAGTTGAATTTGATGTTATATGAGAAAAAGATAATGTATTATATAGGAAAATCATAAAATTGAATCTTTCTTGAATTTATTTTTCTGAGTGTTCATAAAGCAAAATTCATTTTCAATCCACAAAACAGATAAGAGTTGGGTTGAGTTTTTGTGATAAGATTCAACATCATTCAAATAAAATTTGGGATTCAATTCGTAACTTCTATTTGATTAGATGTTGCATGTTTTACTGAAGCCTGCGGTTAGGCAGCTGATGCTGATTTGACGTGCATGCCCTTCAGTGAGCGGCTAAAAATCAAAAGCGTAAAAACATCAACTCTCCCTTTTCGGCTTCCATCTTTTGATGCCTCTACTCCCAACAAGTTGCGGGTCAGGCTAGATGTATAACTATGCTTCAATAATATATTGTTCTATGTATAATTACATCATATGCTATTAAATATTTTATTACGTGTTGTCAAATATGTGTTCTTGCCTTATTGTATATGTGTTCAATCAGCATGATAATCAAACTACTTATTGAAACCTGAGATTCAATTTACATACGTACTTTTGGAGATACTATTAATACTCTTCTTAGTGTATATACAAGTGTGTGGTATATTGGTCTTTTTATTTGTAAATCATCAGTTTTATTGTTCTTTATAATTTTTTATGTGGGTGAATTGATAAATTGTTTCATTTTATGTTTATTTCCTCTATCAATTGAAAATCAATTATTTTGTTCTATAGAAATATAAAATTTTCTTTATATATACTACTACATATACATATATTTGCCTATCATCATTGGTTTCATTTATATTTAATTTATTATTATGATATTTTAATTAAGTTAATAGTTTTAAAATTACCTGACTAAATTTGGTAAAAAAATAAAGTTTATTGAATTCAAATCTGTTGTGTTCAACTTGAATCCGATCAATTCAATAAATACTGAATTCGAATTACTTTTGCATTGGAAAATATGAATTTGATTGGAATTCTTTTAAAAAATACCCCAAGACCAACTTCAAGTATTCGAATTATGACTTTCATTTTCGATGCACACCCCTAGTCTTATATGATGTTGGCATGCTATTTAAGTCATGCACTATATTGTAAGCAGTCTATTGCACTTTCAAAACTTCTTTCCCACAGACCAATTCATGATTGCTTAGCTACAATGAGTTATCTGTATGATTTGTATGATGCTTCAGAAGTTGCATAGTAACTGTTAAGTTAAGATTTCTTCTTTAGATCCTCTTTTAAACCTTGTAATGCAAATCTAAACATAACAGTCAAATTAAACTATCTATGGTGATTGTTGTACACTTTTGTTTTATGTGGTTCAATGTCTATATATTTAGAACATAAACCATTGAACAAAAAAACTATAAATCATATATTATTGAGATTTGAGAAAGAGTACAATTTTGCCTTAGGGTGCCATACATCTATGAGCTGCGAAGAATGGAACTACTAAAATTTACAAATAGTACCAAGTGATAGGGTCACAGAGTGTTGTAATACTATCATACTGTATGTATATTTGCTTCGAAATAATTTTTTGTTCTCTGCCATCAAACATCTCTCCCATCTGATTTATTTGGTAATTTCTGAAAAGAAGGATGGGATACTTCTAAAAGTGAATTTGTGTGGCAATTCCTTGTCCTTATCATTTGCATATGATATTCCATTTTGCAGATTGGGACTCCGGCCGTGGTGGTTTTACTGATGCTTTTAATATGGGAGGATCCCAAAGGTATGCATCATTCAATGTGTGAATATCTTTCCAAGTACATAAATGGATTCACTTTTCTGAATGGGCATCTGGTTTGTTCATGCTAGCACTGTTACTTCTTAATGGGTTGCAGTTGTCTTTTTTTAGTTTCTCGCCATGATGGTAGACCAAAATGTTTTTAAAGGGTGGGGATATTTGAGTGACACTGTACTTGAGACATGTCATCTGCTTATCATGTCAAGCCTTTTAAGTGCTGCTAAGCATATTGAAAAAATTTCAACTTATTTTTTACTAGGAAAGTTATGCATGGTAAGGATCTTTAACTGCATTTCATGTTTCTTATACCAAAAAGGAATAGTTCTGTTCGTTGGGTGGATAGTAGTAACTTTTATGACTCGCAACACATGCTGCTTGCATTTGCGACTGATGGTTTGCTGTGCAACTTCCACAGTATGCCTAGCTGATATTACTGCAATATTAGATCTTAAGTTGTTTTACTGGTAGTTGTCTTAACATTTTTAGGGAGGGCATGATATCTGATAAGCAGTTTATTCAAGAGCTTGAAGATGATATCCTACCAGCTGAAGCTTAGGGGAGGTTAGATGGGCGAGTTTTTACTTCATCGATTTAGCTCTGCTTGTTTGTCTTATTATTATTTTAAAATAATCATAGTTTGTCATGTGTTTCTTTTGTCAGCTTCCTTCTTGTTTCTGCTTCAATACTAACTCTATTAATTGGTTGAGCATAATTGCATGTATCAGGAAGTACAAGACATAATATATAACAACTCAAGAAAAAACTTATTTTAATGCACATAAGGACGAAGAACGGGTAACTATGCTGTTTTGATTGATTATGTATTGTTTTAAGGTACAATTTACAACTGCATTTGTTGTTTTACACAAGTGCTTTTTTTTTTTTTTTTTATAATCTTTGTTCAAGTTGAAAAACAAGTATCATCCGACAAACTTGGTTGGTGTCCTAGAATGGTAAGCACGTGAATTATATTGCATGTATGTTTGTATGGGTTTATTTGTGCTTGAACAATCTATGTGAAATGATTTTTAAATGCCCCTCTGTGTATATGTCTACTGTCTCAATGGAATTTAGTTGAAAGTTTTCTTCACTTAAATTTTTCGGAATGAACTTGCAAAGAAGTTGGCCTAGGATTTTGAGCTTGATTTGGATAATGGGACTTTGGATTTGTAAGGCCTGCTTTGCCAATATGGGGTTTGAATATAGTTGTCACGGCACCCTTTTTGCGGCGCGGCACCTATGGACTGCTATGGAGACGTGGCGTCCGCCATTGTGACAAAATGGCAAGTGCGGCGCACTATGTGTGGGAAATCAGAGATGAGAAGAAAGAAGATTTTGTATTTCCACTATGATTTGAAGCGATAATACACAGAGTTAAAAAGGAGATTACAAGAAGGAAAAATGAAACAAACTAACTAATTCACTCAATTAAGGAACCGACTAAATCCTTCAATTTAAGGGATTACAAATTAATTCTCTTTAACATATTTGAATTACAAATTGATTCTCCTAACATATTTACATTATAACTCAGCTATTATTTGATATTCCCCCTCAAGCTGAGGAATAAATGTCTTCCATTCCCAGCTTGGACTCAAGATCATGGAAACTCGAACTATTCAGCCCATTTGTTAGAACATCGGCTAATTGTCTCTCTGATGGAACATAGGACATACATACTAACCCTTCATCCAGTTTTTATTTGATGAAATATCTATCAATTTCAATATGTTTTGTCCTATCATGTTGTATAGGATTATGAGCTAGATTAATAGCTGACTTATTGTCACAGTAAAGCTTCATAGGACTCTCCCATTTGACTCTCAAATCATCCAAAATGATCCTCAACCAAAGTAATTCGCATAATCCTTGAGCAATTACCCTAAATTTTGATTCTGCTATGACCTTGCCACTATATTCTGCTTCTTGCTCCTCTATGTCACTAGGTTACCTCCAAGAAAAGTACAATACCCTGCAGTTGATCTTCTATCAACTAGGGAGCTAGCATAGTCAGCAACGGTGTAGGCTTCCAAAGTAAGAGTGCCATTTCTTTTGAACAAGATTCTTTTCCCTGGATTGCCTTTCAAGTAGTGCAGTACCCTGTAAGTAGCTTAAAGATGAGGTTCTCTTGGATCATGCATGAATTGGCTGATCAAACTTACAGAATATGCTATATTTGGTCTAGTGTGAGCAAGGTATATAAGTCTGCCAACCAGGTACATTCTTTTATCCACAACTGGTTCTTCTTTATCTTCTCCCAATTTATAGTTTGGATCTATTGAGTAGAAATCGGCTTACACCCAATCTTCCCTATTTCTGCCAATAAATCAAGCACATACTTTTGTTGAGATATGAAGATCCCTTGTCTAGAATATGCCACCTCAATACCGAGAAAATACTTCAATTTCCTTAATTTCTTTATTTCAAATTCTTTCATTAGTCTCATCTTTAATTCATGCTTCTCTTTCTCATCATTTCCAGTCATTATGATGTCGTCCACATAGACTAAAAGAGCAGTCACTCCCCTTACAGCCGAATGCTTAATGAAAAGAGTGTGGTCACCTTGGCTTTGTTTGTACCCAAATTCACCTTTGCAAATCTGCCAAACCATGCTCTAGGAGATTGTTTTAACCCATAAAGGGCTTTTTTCAGCTTGCACACTTTGTTACTAGTGTCCCCTTCTAATCCCGGTGGGATGTTCATGTAGATTTTCTCATTTAAGTCATTATGGAGGAATGCATTCTTAACATCATACTGTAGCAGTTGCCAATTAAAGTGAGCAGCAAATGATAACAGAATTTTTTACTGTGTTCATTTTTGCAACTGGAGCAAATGTTTCCTGATAATCCACCCCATAAGTTTGAGTGTATCCTTTGGCTACTAACATTGCTTTATATCTTTCAAGGGATCCATCAGCCTTGTACTTCAAGGTAAAAATCCATTTGCAATCAACAATGTTTTTTCCCTTTTGGTTTGTCAACGATCTCCCATGTTTTATTCTTTTCTAATGCATTCATCTTTTCTCTCATAGTATCCCTCCATTCCCTTTTTGACAATGCCTCAGATACATTGTGAGGGATGGTAATGGTGTTCAAACTCACAATGAATCCCCTTTGTGCTGGCGATAGGCGCTTAAAAGAAACATAGTGAGATAGAGGATAGAGTGGTCCTTGAGTGCATTCTTTGGTTCCTTTTCTAATAGCAAAGGGAATTTCCAGAACAGTAGTTGAATCCTCTTAAGGAAAGAAGAATGCAAGTTACTCTTAAGTTTTTTGGATGGTTCAAGGTGGTAAAGACCGTTCCTTTCCTTAGTAAGTCCAATCCTCCTCCCCGGGTCTTGGTCCTGAAAAACACAATAAGAAGAGCAAAAAACAGCATAGCTTTTAGGCTTGTTGACAGTTTGGGCACATGGAGAACATTTTTAAGTATAAGGCTAGGTGGGATATGTATATCTCCAATCCCTGCAACAGTGGCTAAGGAGCCATTGGCCACAACAATTTTTTCTTTTACTTGGACATGGGATATAGGTGTGGAAGAGTTGAGATGTGGGGGTCATATGGTCTGTAGCACCGGAGTCTATGATCCAAGAGTTGGTATAGAATTTGTTCCAAAAGGCTTCTCAAGAGACCCCAACAAACTTCTCAATCTCTCAATTTCTTCACTGTTGAACCCCCATATTGCTGGATTTTTCTCAATATTGGGTTGCTCTGCCATATGCGCTTGAGGCCTTCGTTGCTGCCCCCCACGGTAGCCCCACTCTCGGCTTGGAGGTTTACCATTCAGCTTCTAACACTTCTCTCTTGTATGCCTGGGTTTCTTGCAATAAGTACACCAAAGATTGTCTTTATTTTCTTTCCCTTGGTTATCTCTACCAAAGTGTTTGGGCATATCATTCTTTGACTTCTCCTGATTTGCTTTTGCTGTTAAGCTGACCCATCCATAGTATGTGGTTCTAGCATGACACTCCTCCGTCTTTCTTTTGTTCGGATTAATGAGATTGTCTCTTCTAGAGATGGTGTATCCTCCTTGCCGAGGATTTGGATCCTAACTTGATCATATTCAGAATTCAATCATGCCAAAAAAACATATATCCGATCCTTCTCAATGAACTTCTTCAAAGTGGCAGCATCATCAGGGCATTTCATATCAATTACCCGGTAGTGATCCAATTCTTGCCAAAGATTTTGCAATAGAGTTGCATATTCTGTGACAGATTTGTCTCCTTGCTTGGTGGCTCCGGTTTTTTCTTTGATTTCATACACAAGGGCAGCATCACGGGCCTTCGAGTATGTGCGGATTTCCTTTGTTGTATTTAAGAACATACAAGTGTCACTAACACATGGGTCCATGGAAACCCATAGCCAGGACATAATCATGGAATCCTCCCCATCCCATGCTTTAAATGTTAGATCATTTTTTTCTGGTCCGGTTCCAATGAGGTGATTAAGCCTCCCTTTGCCCTTGAGGTATGTGCGGACAATTTTGGACCATTTGAGATAGTTCTTCCCATTGAACCTATTTGATGCCCGGATATTCTGCAGTTCTCCAATTTTCTGAATAGAGTTAGATTCTTCGGAAGGGTTGGAATTGTTGGTGATGGTGGTTTCAAACATGACTTAGTGAAAGAAGAAAAATTTACAGCAGTTAAAGTTGGAACAAAACACAGCGATGAAGGCTGCTTGAAGAAAACTACAAAACACTAGAAAAATTCATAAAGCTCTGATACCATGTGGGAAATCAGAGATGAGAGGAAAGAAGATTTTGTATTTCCACTATGATTTGAATCGATAATACACAAAGTTAAAAAGGAAACAAACTAATTGATTCCCTCAATTAAGGGACTGACTAAATCCCTCAATTTAACAGATTACAAATTAATTCTCTTAACATATTTGAATTACAAATTGATTCTTCTAACATATTTATATTATAACTCAACTATTCTTTGGCATATCTACAAAATTAAATATATATATATAGTTGTGGGTTTCTACATCATCAAAATATATATATTATAAATATTTAAAAATTATACATTATCAACTTACTATTAATCTTCAAATTTTCATGTTCCTTAAATCATAACATAAAGTATAATACTATAAAATATAATTTCAATCATCAAACAAAACAAAATACTATCCATAATCTTTAAACTATCAACTTTATCATCTCAAATCTCAATAATCAAATATATCAAGTCCACCACCACGAGGAATATTATCCAAATCATCATCATTAATATCATAATTTAATGATATATCTTCATCTTGCTCCATCAATACTGAAGTTGAGGCTTTCTTGAGACGTCTAGAGTATAATTGTATTGATGAATCCGATGTGTCGCTGATATTTCCTCTTCTATGAGTATTGCGGCGTTCAAAATTGGCCAATGCACCCATGGCTTCATCAACATGATTCCATCTAAGATCCTCTTCCGAATGAACCAAATCATTGGTGTCAAGAACCCATTTATTATCCCATTCAAATTCATCCAACACCAAAGGATTGAAGTTCTTTCCTTCCTCACGCCGCTTTTGTAATCTACTCGCAATTTTTCA